ATTATTTTGCATTAGAATAAAATTTATACATTCTTTCTATAGTTTTATTACTAATTGAACGAAAGAAATTCATTAAAAAAAATTTTTTTTTAGTATTATCCGTATAATGGATAGAGAATATAAATATAATTGGAGAAATTTACGTGGAAAACCCTTTATACAGTTTATTTTGCAGATTTCAATTTTGAATTTAATTATCAGCTTAGAAAGTGTATTAAGAGTAATCATTGTAATTCTAATCGATTTTCTTTTGTCTTTCACATTATCGTGTCAGATTGATATAATGATACTACATTTCTTTCAAATGATTATAAATTTTATATACTTATAGTTCCATTTTTATACGTTTACTATCATTTTATATCTCGATAATTTCAATTATTTACTGACTGTATATACATTAAGTTTAAGATGGACGTGATACGACGGAAATTTGAAATAAACAAACGTACACAATTGCCATGGGATTAGTTGCAAAAGTTTCACTTGAAAAAAAAATGGAAAGATTCTAGTTTCAGTTTAATTTTATTATTATTTTATTAATATGATTATTAATTGTTTATACAAAATTATATACTTATTTTATACAGTGTTCGTGGTGTGTTTAAACTCGGCGTCCTCATTAATGATATGTATGATATGGTTAATTGTAACACTAAATAATCAGTAAACCTAAATCTTACGTATTCTACATGTTATTTTTCTATATAGTAAATAATGTATCTAACTAAATATTTAAAGTTTTTATTCATTTTAAAGTATATTTTTATGTTCTTGAGCTTATAATATTAGTTTGGTCGCACGATATTCTGCTTATTGCATTAGTAAAATATTTATATTGTTTTCAATTAATTTTTCATAAATCTTTGAAGCCGATACCACGTAAAGTGCTTTTAATCTTTGAAATTTCAAGTCAATTTATTAGTTTACAATTTTTATTATTAATAAATTCAGATTTTGATAAATGGTAAATGTTTATATGTTTTTATACATCATAATTGTAATCTTTTCATGACCAAATGTATTGCCGTTAATCAAAAAATATGAATTGTGTTTAGCTCAAGATTTACATAATTCTTGGCGACATCTTTCTAAATTACAAATAAAGAATTTTATTATAAGTAGTAAAATACATAAAATAATTTACTTTCTCAAACTTTATTTGAAATATTACGAGAAGTTATATGAAAAAATGCATTTAAGGAATATTCTTCATTCATCAAAATTCATTTTATGAAAATTATTTATCCAAATATAGTATCATAATGGCATATATTGTTAATAATATATGTTTCTGTGTTTATCAGTCTATAATATTTTTAAATATCCCTATCGAGAAAAATCAAAGCTTTTGAAGATTAAAAAATTTATGGTACCAATTATTCTCATAAATCAACTATTGTAACGTAAAATTACAAAGCAACATAATTATTATTTCTACTTTATTCCTTATCAAATTATCCTTAAAGGTGGCTAATATCTTGGAACACATATTTACTTTAATAGTTAAAAATATTATTATTTTTACATAATTATATGTCCCTAGAAAATTTTCTTACTCAATAAGCATTATTTATCGAGGAATAAAACTTGATTTAATAAATTGTCGAAAATTTTTTTTTTGCTTCAAAAATTTGATCAATAAACGAGCAAGAATGTTCTTTTGCTTATTATTGCCATTCCAATTATTTCAGATATTTTGCAATAAAATTTTGCAGTATTCCAAATTTTCATTTATTATTAATATTATTAGGGTAATTTTGCATCTGGCAGTATGTATGCTATAATAAAGCTACAGATATTTTAAGTAAATTTTGAATACAAAAAATTGTTAAATAAGAGGATTTACCGTTTTAACTGTTTAGAGTAAGTAGAAAAAAATTTAAGTCTTTAATTTCGGATATTTAGATGAATATTAAAACTAAGCTTTTGAACTCTTAGCATTAAAATTTGTGAAAAAATAAAACTTTGTAGTATATCTATATAGGCGTTCCAATTTACTGACAATTAATCATAAATTGATCAGTAATTATTCTCAAATGGAAGAGAATTTAACTTTTCATTTTTAAAATTTTGTATTTTATATTTTATACTATTGATTGTGTTACATTAACTAACGATACAATATATTTAAAATATCAATTTCAATAAATTATTCGAAAATTCTTAAAATATAATATGGTTTCATTATTGAATCTCTTTATTAACGTTCAATAACAATTAACATTAATTTTAATATGTTGAAAGGAATATGGAAATGTGCATGCTTTAATCAAGCTCATTAAATTATAGATTTTATTTAATTATATATTAAATTACACATTGCTTTGTTCTGTACAATGATTCATAGTTAACATTTGTCCTAGTTTATACAAGAAACATTTGTCTCCTTTGTAAAGCATTTTATATTAATTTGTTGGTCTACGTTATAGTTTTGTACGTTTAAGGAAACAAATGAAAATTTAAAAAATACGATAAAGTATCGGAATGAAACATTTATCGGATATCTAACTTACTAGATTAATTGGATGTTAGTAAAATATTTAGTAAATTCTGAAAATATGAATATAATTATATAATATATATATATAAATTTATAATGAATAATTATTTTTTGGAGCGAAAAATGTAATTTGCAAGATTTCTCTAAAAATTCATGATAAATTATATATTCGATATATTTCAAAAATTAAAATTCATTTACTTAAAATTTTTAATTAATTATTTATAACATTTTCATAGCGGGATATTCGTGAATATTCTGATGAATAGGACGATATAATGTATTATTAATTTTTTTTTATTTATTTATTTTTTTTTTTTTTGTTAAACATTTATTAAAAAACTTTCAATTTTTTTTTTTTTTTAATAATTGATTTAAATATTTACTTTTATCTTGACGCTAAGGAGAAATTGAAAATTTAGCCAACGTAAAGATCATTGCTGCTCACTTATATTGCATCTACATTGATGGTAAAGCAACTTTTCTCATAAGATTTTAAATAAATGTCCCACGCAGGATTCACGTGATAAATATTTAATATATTTGCACTAGACACGATTCATGCAAAATATTCAATAATTAAAACAAATCAATTTCGCCGTCATGCACTTAATAAGTTTGTCCTAATTATTAATTACACGCGTGAAGAGCTATTCGAGTGCTCTATTTCATAAAATAATGGATCTCTCACTTATTTAAATATACTAAATATAAAGTGCTCAATGGCAATGCACATGTAACGAAAGAATAAAAGCGTCACAATAGTATATCGATTTTGCCAGACGTTTTCCGTACAAATGCCAGCTATAAATCATATTTACTTCAGCTCACGAGTGGATGCTTACAATGACGTTTCCCTACAAAATCTCTTGGACAATTGAAAATCTTGCAAATCA